TTTTTTTTTAATCTGCTGTTCATGGATAGACGAGGGCCCTGACTGAACTGCGCAGCCCGAGTTTCACCTGCAATTGAAACTCGGGTCCTGACTAAACTGCTAAATCGCAGTTTCAAATGCAATTACAAACTGCTTTCGTGACTGCGCCGTAGTTACATGGCATTGCGTTATGCGATTCAACTGATGATTTACGGCACAAATGCCACAAATTTACACTTGATTGCCAAAGTCGACACAATTTTAGCAGAAAACACCATGATCCATGAACAAGAAAAAACGCACTTGTGAGAAGGAAAAACAATGATGTACCCTTGAAAAACATAGGGGCTCGTTCGACACTATCCCGCCTTTGTTCCACTCATCCTTGGAAATGTTCCCCGAGGACGATTCCTCGGGGCGTCCCGCGGCCAGTTTCATATATCGACGAGTGGACGCGGGGGGTGGTCGGCGTTTGGTCCATCCTGCATGTCCGTCTGGGTGTGGGTGGTCCAGTGCTGGCGGCGTGCTTGAGCAGGCTCTGCGGCGGGAAAAAAAATGGCACGGAAAAGGCGCGGTGTCCCAGTTCAAAATTTGAATTCGAATTTTTGCGAACAAGCGTGTGCAGGCGTGGGCGTCCCTTGCGGGTGACGGCAGCGACGTTGTTCGGCGGTGGCCGTTTCAGATGGTGACGGCGGCGGCGCGCTTCTGACGACATGCGGAACGTACATGTACGCGTTGGAAGCAGTGGAGACGGCGTGTCACGATCGCGTTCGTCCTCCCGCTTTTGGGAACGTGGATTTCCATCGCTGGTTGCGCTGAGCACTGTCGTCTTCACTGCTGGCAGAGCTGTTTTACGGCCTGCGTCGCGCTCTGGCGTCTTCTGCACTCCGCGACGGGCGACGGGGGGGGAGGTTGGACGTGCGGATCCTCGCTGTTGATTCGTGGTCTGCGGTGTTCTGCACTTCGCCACGGGCGGATCCTCAGTAACGTTTACGGCGATGGCGTCGGAGGGGATGGACATGCGTCATGCGGTATCGAAGGCGGAGAGGACTGCGGTGGCAGTGGCCGTGAGCGCCGTCCTCTCCCGGTGCCAGTTGGAGAGGGGCGAGGGGAGGATGAGAGCGGCCATTCACGCGCGGCGTAAACGGACGCTGCAGTCGCCGTCTGTGGGGGGCGACGACAGCGCTACCATTTGCGACGTCGTGCTGCAGGTGTGCTACGCCATGGGGTGTGGAGCGTTCCCCAGAGCGACGCCCAGATGGTGGATGAAGCGACGTACAGGCGGCACGTGGGAGGATCTCCGGCTGTGCGACGACGCGACGGCGGACTACTTCAGGGAGAAGCTACGAATGTCGCCACGTGTATTCCGAGAGATAACGGAAGCTCTGTCTCCCTGCCTCGAGCGACGTGTCACTTTCTACAAGGAGCCCCTCCAGCCAGACCAGATTGTCGCCTACGCTTTGTACAGGTGGGCGTCGGGGGAGACATACGAGAGCGGGACATGCAGCTTTGGCATTGGCAGATCTTCCGGGTTGGTGGCGGTGCGGGATGTGACTGCGGCGTTGCTCAGTGCGTTCCCTGACAAGATCTCGTGGCCGACGGGTCTGCAGAAGGCGGTCGTCTTGCGCGCTTTCGCTGACAAGGGTTTCCCCAACTGCCATGGGTGCATCGACTGCACCCACATCTTCATCGACAAGCCTGCGAATTGCCCCGGGGAGGACTACTACAATAGGAAACGGCGTCTCTCTGTGCAGGCACAGGTCATCGTGGATTTGAACTTGTGCGTGCTCGATGTGTTCGTCGGTTACTCGGGAAGTTGCCACGACGTTAGGATCGTCCATCTGTCCAGTTTATGGGCACGCGCGGAGGAGGGAGAGCTTTTTACCGGCCCACCTGTCATGCTGCCTTTCGGTGTGCGGACGGACGGATATCTGCTGGGGGACAACGGGTACCCGCCCTCCGAATGGGTTGTCGTCCCTTACAGCGGTGTATCCCAAAACCCTGTGGAGATGCGCTTCGATAACAAGCAGAAGACGGCGAGGGGCGCAGTGGAGAGGGTTTTTGGCAGACTGAAGGGGATGTGGAGGTTGTTCCTTCGATCCCACAAGACGAACATGAAGATGTTGCCGCAGCAGTTCGTCGTCATCTGCATTCTCCACAACATACTCATCGACGCGAGCATCCCGTTCGACGAGAATCTGCTCTGGGAGGTCAGGCCGGATGGTGTTCGTCGCAGGGTGGATCTTGGGATGGATCCTCCCGTGAGGCAGATGTGCATGGAGTCCTCCACAGGAGATGCCCTCATTCTACGCGACGCACTGGCTGAGCGAATGGCGGCACAGTGAAGATGGCGAGGCCAGCGGAGGGATCGGCCTTGATGGCGTGGCTGAGGCGATTAAAATCGGCCGTGTCCCGTGGGGTGGAAGATAGAAATCGTGGCAGAAGACTCGGGGTGCTCCATGTCGTGCAACGAGCTGTCACCGTTGTGTTTGTCGTCCATCGGTCGGATCTCGCGAGTAGTGTGGCAGTGGTGGGCGTCATAGTTTGGTTGTCCGGGCACGCGGCGGCGTGTGTCGGCAGTTTATTTCGTTGTGTTAGGATCCGAGCGCTGTCGGGTGTGTGGCTGCGCCGGAGGCGGACTGCGTTCGCGCAATCGAAGACGTAGGCAAGGAGGGGCGATGTGAGAAGCGCCCACGTGCAAACAAGTGCTTGTTGTGTAGTGCGTTGTCGCTACGGCGACCTGTGAGGGTGGCAGGGTTATTGCGTCGATCTTTGGTTTTATTGTTGTGTTTTGGTTGATCTTTTCACTAAAGTTGATTAATGACCCGTTTCGTTTTTCACGCTCTGTCTCCAAGGACGTGTTGTTTTGTTGGGTTTTTTTTTTTTTTTTTTTT